CTTTACGTGCGGCCTCAGTATCCTTAATAGGCATTAAGAAATCTGGCGTGGTTGAGGATAAATACGGATAGAGAAGAATATCCATACACTTGACAAGACTTTAGTGCCTATTTATCTGATAAAACTGTGTTAACTTTAACAATTTTAAAAACAAAATCTAAGAAATCATACCTTCTTCACCAGCTTTGGAGCCGATGCGTGCTAGTCCCCGACCTCGATTGCCTTTCACAACCAACTTGCAAGGCTTGTTCCGTTCGCCTACGGACTTGACGGGACCCAGACTTAGCCGCTCTATCAGTGGCTTAGGATCTTCTCCGCCAAACTCATAATCCTCGCCAGTTAAGCTAGTATTCATGATATCGTCATCTGATCAAATGGTAAGAATATCAATTACAAAGGGTAATAAGGCCTGGAGGTTTTTTATTAAAGGATTTGTAGTAAAAAATTTGCTGCACGAGGTTTTATATGTAGATATTTTATGTAGTGGCGCATCGGGTTTACAATTATACTAGCGTATTTACGGTTTAAGGCCGACTTAGGTCATCCAAGAGTTAATGTCCTACAAACAAAGATGAGACAAGAAATGTGTGGGAAGATTCGAAAACACATGAGCTAGAGAGCTGAAGCTGATATGGCAGAAAAATTAAAGACGCGCGGAGAACGTAAAACTGAGAATTGGTGATATGAAATGCAATTAGGAATCTGGTTTGAAAATCTTCATTTCTTGAATAAACACACACAGATTAATTTAATTAGCAAATGAAGAATATTAGGAACATAAATCGCGATATTTAAAAATGAATATCAAAAAAGCATTTTGACATCAACGAACTTCTAAACTAGCCAATAAATAAAAAAGGTATTCAAGTGTAAACAGTGCAAGTAAAATTCGAGACCTAAGGTAGGCCTTCGGAGTCTAGCCGCACCGTATTATGATTACAGAAGCATGTAAACATGCACAGTAAAGCACTATGAGTAGAAAGATTTACTCAATAAGGCTTTTGCTCTCTCAAAATTTTTCAAATTCAAACTAGTGACAAAGGGCTGGTCATAGTATGGTAGGCATTACAAATTAAAGAGCACATTATTTACGAAATACAACAAGTGGATATTTTGCTATATCTCACATAAACACAGTCCTCAGCGCATAAAAGAATATAAACCTGCTTAACAAAAAAAAGATATTTTTCTGAGTAACTTTTCCATTTTATTTAAGAACCTACCTTCATCACCAGCACCAGCAGCTAGCCTTTTAAGTGCCTTTTTCTTGCGATCGCCATCCACTTTGCGAATCAAATCACTATCAACGACAGGAATAATGCGCCGCCCAAACGAATCAGGCAAAGTTTCCTTGGCTCGGCGCTGTGCTTTGATGCCCTTGCGAGCTGCTGAACCAGATGGCTTTGAAGAGGATAATTTTTTTTCACCCAGATCAAGGGCTTCTTCAAGTGCGACTTTGAAATCATTTTCACGTTTCTGCGATAAAATAAAAAAATGAGAAATTTGAGTGGGTTAACGTATGGATACATAGATAAAGAAGCACATCATTAAAGTAGACCAAATAATAAAGTTATATCTAGAAAACAAGTCAGATAAAAAAGACATTGAAAGTTAAGACTCATAATTGTGTCAACTAAGATACTTTTAAACTCTTGGAATTCTTTTTAAAATCAATATAAATGTGTTGTGACCGTTTTAAGATAAAATTTAGATCAAAATAACAGGAACCAGATATTTAGATCACTAGTCATCCTATAAAAAGCATTTGAAGGAGGTGAAGATAATAGAAAATAAAATCATGCAGTTAATAAACACAAGGATAAACTGGAACCGAAGCTTATTAAGAATTGCGAATGAACACAGTAGATTAACTTAAAGTATCCTATTCATAGAAATGCAAAGTGTTCCTAAGAGTAACATGCCTTTACTGAGAATGGTAACAACTAAGTTAATTTTACACACCAAGTAAGCAGCTTCAAGTTTTTCCAGGTCTTTGGTCCACATGGAAGTAGGGGTCAGCTCCTTTAGCGCCTTAAGTTCGGCCTGTTTAGAGTCACGTTGGGCCAGCAAATCGTCTTTGCGTTCCTTTGTAAGACTCCAGAGGGGCATATTGAGGATGTAATTGAAATCTGGACCCGATTCCAATTCAACGGGAG